GGTCAATGTGTGGCTACTAATTGAATTAAAGTAATCACGAGTATTACCCTGTAAATTTCTCTGCACGCGTGATGCACCGACCGGTATCATAAAAACTGAAGTTCCACGCGAAATGAAATATGCTGCCGTGACTTCGGTGTGGAAATAAGGAACATTAAGTGAAATACCGATGATTAATCACTCTGGTCGTGGCGAACAGTGGGAATCATTTGCAGAAATATGAGCGACGCCACAAACGGATGACACTTGGTTACATAATGGAAAAGGATATAGAATTAATAACATTCATTTATTCCCTCTACGAAGATCAATGAAAGCCTGTGTACGCTTATTTACCACCATTTCTGATTCTTTTTTTTTAGAAACAACACCGTGTGTTATTTTTCATCTTAACTCATTGTATATTTTCTGCAACAATTTGGTTTGTCAATTGTGTCGATAAAATATTATTGTGTTCTCTGATTGTATAAAGTTTTATATATATATATATATATATATATATATATTATTATGTTATATTATTTAATTATTGTATATACATACATGTATTTCTACATGTATGCTACAGACAAATATATTAGGTTAATGTATATCAAATATCACAATCAAGCTAATTACACGTAATTCTTTCAAAACCTTGTGGATTTAATCAAATTAATTTCCATGTCCTTCAATATACTTTTGATTATCACCAATTTTCATTATTATTAGAATTCGAGAAGTCTTATTTACTTTAATGTAACTAATGTATGAATGAAATTGTTCAGATGAAATAAAAAAAATATCTTTAACTTCTTCTAAATGCTAAATATACGTTTTAAGAAATTTTTTCCAAATTTCCAAATTATAATAATAAAGTTTCACACTTTTGTCACGAATTTTCTTGATATTAATTTGTGCATGGTAAATTTCTCTTCCTTCGATATAGTTAGAAGAAGTTCTAAGACAAAACGTGATTTAATAGAAAAATACAAATGTGTATTAATAAATTTATTAAAAAAAAAAAAAAAAAAAAAAAGAATCCTGAAATCCATTTTTTCTTAGTCACAATGAACAAGTAATTCTGAGTTTAATCGAATAAATGGTGTCTGCTACTAATCGTCGGAATTATTACAAAGAAACATGGAAAATAGTTGTGGATTAACATTGAAGTTTCGTTTTGGCTACCAGATCGCGTACCGCGTTTGCATTTTGTTCCAATGCAAATTGAAAGCCGAGGGAGTGAGAATAAATGGCACAATGGATAGACGCGACTAGCAATTCTTCAAATTAATCTCGCGCGAACAAAACGAAGAGACTTCGTGATAAATCGAACGCGCCGTGACAAGTGCGATGACTTACAGACTCGTTAAGGCAACGAGTTGCGTTCGTGCATCACGTAGCACAATTAAAGCGCGCGTGTGCACGCTATCAGCGTCGTATACAATTCGACCGCGATGACGTCCAGGCATCATCATCGCTTTATCCTTGATTAATTAGTTCTTTAATTAATCAAGCGGGGAACGCCGCTCGACGTGACGATAATTACGAGTGACGCGGTGAGAATGATTGCAGTTACTTTTGTTCGCGTTCTAGCGAAACCCACGTCGAGAGAACGACGTTGATTCATAAATAAAAATCAACCTTTAAGTGAAATTGGAACGTGTACGAAATATGTGAAGATTCTTGGGGAATATTGGTGACCACTGACGAGATCCTTTTGAATCGATTCAAATGGATTTCTAATTTTTCTCTTGTATCTCCGTGACGACTGATAACTTGAGTATCGTGTACTTAAAGAGTTGTTTGGAGATATTTCACTTTTAATGAAAAAGAAAGAGAAAGAAAGTTTGGCAAATGAAGAGTTAAAAAATCTTTTCAACAAATGTATAGATA